CCTGGAGTCAACTGGGTTCTAGGCTGGCTTACTAATTATAGCTCGCCCACAAGATGCGAGCAAGCAGTTTGCAGGGTTATAAAGCGCTTATTCAGTTTCCTCAATAATCTGAATGTGCATTCTGTACAAGGTCGTTTCACTTCATTCAATGTGAATGACTGACTGACCAGTCAGGTTTTTGCTCACTGAGTTTGGTCCAGTCTCATTTCCTGATTAGGTTCAATTAGTTGGTGTCAGGGAGTCACTAGGAAGAGACTTATATAGTGAGTAGATCTCTCTGGAGAAAGTTGGTGACAGGGATCTTGAAGTGGGAACCTGTCTTAGTGTGAATACAATTGGATATAAAGCCCCAGGGTGATTTGAGTCTATCCTTATGGAAACCCCAGACCCTGGTGTGAATGTTTCTGGGTGTGAACCTCATCATGTTGTGACTCCTACCCTGGTGTAAAAACTGCTCACCAAAGCCACATTTTTCTTATCTTCCCAGATGCCTGGTTTGAATTCACTCCTCATTGGGCTGGCTTCTCAACACCTGGTGCTTATGTCTCTACCACTCACTGTGGGAGCAAGTTTGAGGGAGGGAAGCTCATCCAAGAAAAACCTGAAAGGGATTTTTCCTCCCTGCGAGGTCAGGACTACACCTATCCTCCAACAAGAGGCAGAGCAACAGGAGCCATGGGGTTGTCCCTCCTTCACATGTTACTCTCACACCTTTGGCATCCAAGTAGAATCCTGGTTCCCAGAGGTTCCTTGCCTTTGGGATTCCATGAGAGAAGGGGAGTAGCTTGAAAAGCCTCTGCAGAACTGTGTGAAGTTACTTCCTGATGCAAACCCTAGTATAAAATCTTGTGAACTCTTCATGTAATTTGGTACCCAGATGTAAAATACTCGTGACTTCCATATCCCTACTGCCAACTTGAGCATCTGTACTCTCTGCTGGTCTGAAGGGCAGAGGCAGGGCAAATGGACAGAGCAGTGTTATTTTGGTATTAGAGAGACAAAGTGCTGAATGAGAACTCAGTCTTTCATTCCTTTCTGTGATCTTCTCCTCCTCTCTACAGCAGTCTGTGGCAGTGCTCTGGCTGACATGCATACTATTCTCAAAACCGTCTGGGGTAGGTGTGAGAAACAGGCTTTCATCAGGGTTCAGAGCAGGCGGGAAGAGGAACAAAGTGGGGTTTGGGGGCCCAGATGGGCCTTTCACTTAACCCCTAGTGAAAGAATTTCCATTCTCCTTGTAGATTTCTGGGGGAAATTCATCCATGGTTCAAGCACCCAGGAAGAAAAGCTCATTAATTGTCCTGAAGGTAAGGTCCTGAGCTTGGATCCTCTCATGTCTTGGAAAGGACTTGGCCCTGGGAGTCAAGGAGCAGCTTTTCTTGAGGCAATCAGGGTTAAGTGCCTGATGCCTAGGGTCACACAGCTAGTAGGCGTCTGTGGCTAGATTTGGACTGGAATCCTTCTGAGTCCTGGGCTGGTGCTCTATCTATTGTGCCACCTTGCTGGACCATGGATCAGTTTTAAAAAGGTCAAACTGGGTGATTATGGCCAAATAAATACACTTCTCTTGCTTGAAACGTTCATGAGCTGGATTATGTGGACTGGAATCAGTGGCTTTTGAATGGTACCTAACAGCCCTGCCCTTGTACTCAGTGGGAGCCATGCTCCCGATGTTCACAGCTTCATTCCTCTGAGATTCAGCAGGTCACTTGTGAAATAATCTTAGGGACACCCAGTCAACTGAGTTAGATTTAGGAGATCAGAGAGAAAAAGGGACCATTAACTCTTAAACATGAAGTATTTACTAAGTAATAAGGGAAAAGCAAAAGTAACCATAACATTTACTCAATAGTAGCCAAACACAGGAATAAAGGAAAAGTTAGTCTACCCATAAGCCTAGATCACACTCTGACTAATGCAGAGTGTCCCCAAGGGAGGGGACAGGGAGAGTGCAGTGGACACACATCCACTGAAGTCAAGCAGTAAGTCAAATAAGTGGAAAAAGCCATGTGCCTGGGGCAACAAATGACTCTGGAATTGTCTTCAGAATTTTTGACCTCTTTAGTATGCACCATGCATCACTTGGTGGGCAAAATCATTTTTCACCCCCTTGTTCTCCTGTTGAGCAAAGCCACCAGACTGCTACTTTTGGGCTACTAAAGCAGTGACAAGTTCTTTTTAGCACATAGCTGCCAGTGGCAAGGCATTCATAAAGTGTTGAGCTCTTTTAGCAAAATATAATATTGTGCTCTTTTGGTGAAAAGCAGTTCCATTAAGTCTGGAACCAGCCAACATAATCAGATCCGTTCTCTATGAACTACAAAAAGTTCTCCCTTCTCAAACTACAAAGCATAGTAAAGAGCAACACAGGTGCTCCTGAAAGGTTTCCTGTCTCACAAGTGGCACTAGTTGACAGTGAGCCTAACTTCTCTTTCCATAGAGGGAGGATTCTGATGTTCTCCAACCACTTCAAGCACCTACAGAGCTCTTCTCCAATCAAACAGCTACTGACTTCAGTTGCAAGGTCTACCTGTCACCCTTGCTCGGTCCCTGTCAGCTTCTATATTCTGTGTTTCATCAGGTGCTTTTCTCTATGCCTTCTCTTCTTAGCTTCTGTCTCCTCTTGTACTCAGCTTCTCCTGTGCTATTTTCTATATCTTCTGGTTTTCTCCATGTAATTTATAATGCTTGGAATCAGGGCCTCCTTATAAATGGTGACATATTTCTATCTTATGAAGTGAAACTAAAAAAAATTCCCCCTTTCTTGCAACAATGATCCCAGTAGCCTTATATGTCTGTTCCAAGCATTCTAAACAAGTATTGGATTGATAATTTCTATTTAAATATTCAAATTGTGTACATTATCATATGTAAATGAGCAGATAGACCACAATGCCCTCGTCTTCCCTACCTCAGTTGATTGTGTCTTCCATCATGTCCTGTTAATAAATTTATGCGAGAAGCAGTTTTCTCTCAACTCCATAGGACATCTGCATCTCTCCTCAATAATTTTTTATGGGTTGAATTTCTTTTCAAGTTCATTTTGTCATTATCTTTCACCTGAATACTCTTTTTCTGCTCCCTTAAACTCCCTTAAGCAACCAAAAAGGTCACATAACAAAGGGATCACAATTTACACACTTGTAGAGTAGTTCCCCATGAAGTCTTTGAACTTAGGGTTGCTGTTGGGGCAGTACCATGTTGGAAAGCAAGAAATTCACTAGAATATATGAGTCTTACCCAATTGTCTCAAAACTTCCAGTGACCCTGTTGTTTAGGTGCCCATCTTGCTTGAAATTTTAATGAGCTGGATTATGTGAACGGGATTCAATGGTTCTTGAATCATGTCTGACAGCATGACCCTTTATGCTCCGTGGGAACCATACTCATTAACTATGTTCCTCATTCATCCCTTTGAGATTCAACACATCAATTTGTGAAATAGCTTTAGGACAACTCAGTCAGCCTCCCTAGGTGTACAGACAAGAAATGCCAAGGCAGGTTGTTAGGGCCCTGCTCTGGACCTCCGGCCTCCTGTAGGGGAGTTGAGACGCCTGGAGGTTATTACCTGCCCAGGAGCGCCTGGGCTTACCCAGAGACACATGACGTTTACCAACCGTCGAATGGGCACTGGGAGGGCCTCTGTAACAGGACGGAGCTCCACCTACGAAGGAGGAACGGAGGAGGAGCACAGGCGTAGGGGGGAGGAGTTCGGGGGAGTTGAGGGGCAGCGAGGAGGGGGTGGGAAGTTAGGACTTGGGGCAGGGAGTGAGCAGAGCAAGTTTAGTTTAGCAAGCAATGTAATCAATAAAGACGCAACTGCCAACTCGGGTGTTCTGTCTAGTCATTCCCCTCTCACCACGGGGTCCGGAGACGTCCGAAGACTGCGGGGTGAGTATGCAAGCGAAGGCTTGGGTGGGATAGCTGACTAAGTGCACTACGTCAGCTAGGGGACCCACTGGCATGCAACAGCAGACACCTTTTGTTTTCACTAGATAAGCTAACCCTCTTGCTTGTGCATTTGCACTGTCTTAAAACCATTCTGACCATGACCCAGGGCATGGTATTCTAGGCGACTCTCTAGGATTTTAAATTGCTGAGATATTGATTTTCTGCATTGGTGGAGGGAGTTTTCCTTTCCTGGGTATTCCCTATGTCAATGAAATTACAAATTAAGTCCTTATCCCTATATTTATTCTGTATATCATTATATATACACTGGTGGTTTCCTTCAGTAGAATGTAAACTTCATCATAGTAAGAATTCCTCTATTCTTTGTATTTATAACCCCAGTACCTAGCACATGGTAGACTCTTAATACATACTTGATTGCTTGAATGGTTGATTTGAAATACTTGATGACAGCCATCATAACCATCCTTCTCTTCTGTTACATTTCTTACTATTTGAGGAAAGGAAAGAGAATTGGGCTGTGACATAGCATTTCACTCAGCCATCTTCATGAGTAACAAAAATAGTAAAAAAAACAATAATTACTCCTATATTCATAATGCTTTAAGGCCTACAAATCACTCTCTACAACAGAACCTGGGGAAATAGATCATGCAAATGTCATTCCCCTCATTTTAGAGATTAAGAAACTGAGGCAGCCAGAGAGGGAAGTGTCTTGACTACTGTCACACATGTAGGAAATGCCAGAACCAGGATCAAAATTCATTTCAAGGTGCTCTTTCCCCTAAATTAGCTGCTATCCAGCAAGGGAGATTTACCATGACTCTGGAGAAGAATGTGCACGTAGGATGATCAATATAGGTGACCGAAGGATGTCATGGATTTCTTCTCTCTAGGGATCTTGGTATTGGTACAACTTTTGATGATGGCTTAAAGGCTAGAATTATTGAGTCCTCCAAGTGCCTTCAAGGTTGGACCAGTAGGTATCTACCTCTGAACAGATAAATTTCTCTAGGCCTCCTACCTGAAGAGAGGGTTCTCCATCTCTCAGCCACTTCTGATCAGCTCCTGGAGCCTGGGGGAGTCAGAAAGAAGGAATATTATTTATATTGTGACTTTTCTTATCAGGAGTTGCCTTGAATACTACCATGGATCAACTATTCAACTTGGTTTCCACCTCTGTAATAGATGGAGACTGTTCAGGAGACATCCATAAAAATCTGCAGGGTATAATGACAGGTAGGAAGTGATGGTGGTAGTTTCTGTAAGGTGTTCAGTACCATGGAGAAAGCCTCTCCTATGAATAGAAACTCATAGGATCTGAAAACTAGAATGACTCTTGCCCTCATTGTGCAGAAAAAAAAAAACATGAAGGATTTGTTTTAGAACCAACTAGCACTTAGGGGTAAAGCTGGGAGGTAAACGAGGGTCTTCTGACTTCAAATCTAGGCTTCTTGCTACTACACAATGAGGGCTTAATCCTGAAGTGTGTGGGGGGTGTCCTTTACCTAGGTCTTTTATCTTTTATCAACTCTATCCTCAGGAAGGCTTTGACATGAAGAATAAGACAAGACATCAACTTTTGAGCAGCTGCTAGTTTAAAAGAGCAGCTTTTTTTTTTACCTGTATGAGTCTATGGTGTGAGGTTGAGACACAGTCCTGCCCTTGGGGGATCCTTTAGTCAGAGGGAAGAGCCATACCTGTACCATTGAGCCAATCCTGGCCTAACAATATAGACCTCATTTCAGAGGGTCCCCAGTTTAAGGGAAGAGATTTGGCACCTGGCTGAGATAGAATCCAGGGATGACATTATGAGCATAAAAGCAGAGATAGGGAGCAATTTTTTTGTTTTTTTTTTCCTTAAAACTCTTGAGGACTACCCTAACAGTCTCAGGTGCTATGTCCTCCAAGAGCATTTGACAGAATTTCCTAGGTGAAGATCCTGTGTGAGGTCTAGAGTGATCTGGCCAGGATGCTGACATAGCCAGTCAGGGCATATCAGGATGCATATAAAGTCCAGAAGGATGCTTTCACACTTTGCTTTCCACAGTTTTTTCCCCCACACTTCTTGTCCTACCTTTTTTTAGACTAGCTGAATTCCTGGGCAAAGGGCTATGACACAGAGCCAATCAGTCAGCATTTATGGAGCCCTCAGAGGGGGTAGAGACTGATACATCCTCTTTCTGGCCACAGGGAACAAATATTTTTCTGAAGTTGCAACTTTGACTCACCAGATGATCGGGAAGTTACACCAGACCTCTCAAGATGAACAGAGACACTTCATTCAGGACTTGGTGGAATAGACCTTCTAGCAACATTTGGTCAAAGAGAGTGAGTGCAATTTAAAAATTTTCCTGCAGCTGCTCTTGTACCGTCTTGGGGGATACCCATCCTATATCTATCTAATGGTAGGTGGCCAATGTATTCCCTGGAGGCAACTGAGGACAGCAGGGAGTGGAATGCAATAAACCAAAATTTAACAAATATCATAGCTCAAGGACTATCTGAGAATGCCTCTTCCAAACTCCTTTGCTTCATGGTAATGAAACTGAGACTCAGAGAGGGTCAAGGGTTGACCCAAGGTCCAATTCTTAGACTAGACTATCCCAGGATCATAGGATTTAGAGCTGTACAGCATCTTAGAGTTGAATTAGTCCAACCCCCTTATTTTATGGAGAAGGAAACTGAGATCCAATGAGTTAAATAGCTTGAGCAAGGCCACATAGCTAGTAAGCACTAGAGCCAGGTCCCAAACTCAGATTTAAGAGCCCTACTTTCTTTGCTTTTCCTACACAACTTATCTGGGTTTTTTCCCCTTGCTTTTCCCAACACTGGACTTCTTTTACAGACATCTTTGATTCTGATACTGATGTCTCTTCCTCTAGGTAAGAAGAAGGCATCTTTCCTAACTTTCTTCTGGAAGACCATGGACTGTATCTTAAGATGGAAGTGGGGAACAACAAATAACTTTCTGTATAAGTATGGTAAGGGCTTTTTAGCATCGCAGTATTTGAGTAGGAAAGGACTGGAGTGGTCACCATTATCCAGGTTAGATCTTGACAGCTGCATATCATCACCGGGAAGTGGTTATCCCCTTTCTGCTTGAAGATCTTCAGCGATAGTGAGAACATCCTGAGATGGCCCATTGTAGTTGGGACGAGTATCTTTGTTGTGCTGTGTCATATCAACATGCATTTGGTAAGCACTTGCTCTACTCCAGGCACTGTGCTAATCACTGGGGATACAAAGAAAAGTAAAAAAGAAAACCAGTCCTTGCCTTCCAGGAGTTTGCAGTGTGATGGTGAAGGCAACATGTAAACAAGTATGTCCAAACAAGATTGAGGCAGGACAAATTGGGGGAAATCAAGAGAAGGAGGCACTAATATGAAGGGGGATCAGGAAAGGGTTCTTTAGGAAAGTGAGACTTGGCTGAGACTTGAAGGAAATGAAGGAAGCCAGCAGGTAGAGGTGAGGAGGAAGAGTGTTAAAAGCATGGGGGACAACCACAAAAATGCCTAGAGTCAAGAGATGGAGTGACATGTTGGGAGGTTTTTCCTCACATCTGGGTGAAATTTGCTGCCATAATATTTCCTCTTCTCTATTGCTCCTAGTTCTGCTTTCTGGGGCAAGGCAGCACAATTAAATCAGCCTTTCCCATAGCCACCCTTCACATAATTGAAGATAGAATATATTCCTCTACTCACCTTCCCACTTTCTCACCCCACCAAACATCTTCCATGAAGTCCTTTTGGCATGGGGGATGAGAAAAAAAATCAGAAAGTAGAGAAAAAAAGCAAGAGTGGGAAGTGTTACAGGGATTTCAATGGGGCATCCATAGAATGATTTCTTATTAGTGAATGGAAGAGAATGTGTCTCTGGTTGATGGTGGATGAGGTCACAGCTAGACTCACATCTCTGAAGTTTTGTTTCTTTCTATGCTATTGCTCATGTGACTCTGATTCAGGAACTGGTTGGGCCCACTCCAGCTCTGAGATTCCCTGATTTTGTGAGGGTCTTTGGTCTTTTTTTCCCTTAGGCAACACTGAGGATACACTTCCTACACATCAGGAAACTATGTATTTGATGGATGCTGGCTTGGCTATTAACTCTGCCTTTCTCTGGTCCTGCCCCCCATTCGGAACACTGATATCGTCCTGTCCTTTGACTTCAGTGAAGGGGATCCATTTGAGGTAACAGGAAGGGCATTTTCCCCTCCAAAGAACCTAGTCAGGAGCAATAAAGCAAGAAAGAGCCCTTGCTCGGGACATGAGACCCCGAGTCCTAATCCCCAATTCATAGTATGACATTCATTCACTCCTTTTCTCTCTCTGAAATAGCCTCTCTAGAAGGTGTAATTTTGGGAGGAGGTTTGAAAGTCTTAGAGACCCTTCAGGCTCTGGAGCCCTCAGGTGTAGTTACAATGTGTCTGTATCCCCTCTCCTCACACAATCAAGGCCACAGAAAAGTACTGCAAAGCCTGCAATATTCCCTTCCCTCTGGTGGATGACGCTAAGCTCGACCAAGAAGCCAAGGCTCCCTCTGACTTGTACATCTTTGAAGGGGAGAATGCACCAGTGGTCACGCACTTCCCACTTTTCGATAAAGTGAATTGTGGCAGTGAAGGTATGGGTTGGGGCTGCACAGCCACTGAAGTACCTTGCACTATGTTTGTGGAGGTGGGGCTAAACAGCATCGTGGTACTGTGTTCAAAGGGTTTCCTGTCACCTAGAATGGGGTTGCAAGCATGAGCTCTGGTGAAGGCTGCTTACCCAGTGAAAGAGTGATGCTATCAGTGTCCAGATAGCCCTAAGGTGTGATCCCTAATGGGATAGTGTACCAGCCAGTGTTCTTTTTTGTTTGTTTGTTAAAGTAGAAACAATTTTATTTTTCTGTGATGTTATTTGGCTTTCTCCTGTTCAGTGTTTACCAACTTCTTTCCTTTACATTCTTATTAAATGTATTTTCACATTGGTCATGTTGTAAGGAAGAATTAGAACCAATAGAAGGAACCATAACAAAGAGGAAGCAAAAGAAAACAGAAAAAGAGAGCAAATCATGCGCTTCAATCTGCATTCAAACTCCATAGTTCTTTCTTTGGATGTGGATAGCATTTTCCATCATGAGATTTTTGGAGATGTCTTAGATCCTTGCATAGCTGAGAAGAGCTAAGTCTATCAAAGTTAGTCATCGCACAATATGGCTGTTACTGTGTACAATGTTCTCCTGGTTCTGCTCACTTCATTTAGCATCAGTCCATACAAGCCTTTCCAGGTTTTTCTGAAGTCTGCTTGCTTATCACTTCTTATAGCACAATAGTATTCCATTACATTCATATACCACAGCTTGTTCAGTTATTCCCTAATTGATGGGCAGCCCCTCAATTTCCAATTCTTTGCTCCCATAAAAAGAGCTGCTATAAATATTTTTGTACATGTGGGTCCTTTTCCCATTTTTAGGATTTGTTTGGGATACAGCCCTAGAAGTGCTGTTGCTGGGTCAAAGGGTATGCACATTTTTACAGCCCTTTGGACATAGTTCCAAATTGCTCTTCAAAATGGTTGGATCATTTCACAACTCCACCAGCAAAGCATTAGTGTTCAATTTTCCCACATCTTCTCCAACATTTATCATTTTCCTGTTTTACAGGAAAAACATTTGAAACAGAGGGACACAGGATAAAGGTAAAAGGCTGGAGTAGAATATATTATGCTTCAGCTGAAGTTAAAAAAGCAGGGGTAGCAATCCTGACCTCTGATAAAGCAAAATCAAAAATACATCTTATAAAAAGAGATAAGGAAGGAAACTACATTCTGCTAAAAGGCACCATAGACAATGAAGTAATATCATTATTAAACATATATGCACCGAGTTGTATAGCATCAAAATTCTTAGAGGAGAAGTTCAGGGAGTTACAGGAAGAAAATACACAGCAAAACTATACTAGCAGGTGACCTCAACCTCCCCCTCTCTGAACTAGATAAATTTTTCCACAAAATAGACAAGAAAGAAGTTAAGGAGGTGAATAGAATTTTTAAAAAGTTAGATATGGTAGACCTCTGGAGAAAATTGAAAGGGGATAGAAAGGAATATACATTTTTCTCAGCAGAACGTGGCACATACACAAAAACTGACCATGTACTAGGGCATGAAAACCTCACAATCCAATGCAGAAAGGGAGAAATAGTAAATGCATTCTTTTCAGATCATGATGCAATAAAAATTATATGTAATAAAGGGCCATGGAAAGATAGACTAAAAAAATAATTGGAAACTAAATAACCTAATTCTAAAGAATGAATGGGTCAAATAACAAATCATAGGAACAACCAATAACTTCATTCAAGAGAATGACAGTAATACAAAAGATTTACAAGCGAATTCTATCAAACATTTAAAGAACACTTAATTCCAATACTATATAGACTATTTGGGAAAATAGGCAAAGAAGGAGTCTTACATAATTTTTTTTATGATACAAATATGATGCTTATACCTAAACCAGGAAGAGTCAAAACAGAAAGAAAATGATAGGCCAATTTCCCTAATGAAAATAGATGCAAAATTTTTAAATAAAATAGCAGCAAATATATTACAGCAACTTATCACAAGAATAATACACTATAACTGGGTAGGATTTATACCAGTCAGTGTTCTAAGGGCTTAAGTACCTGCCATCTAAGTGGTGGTGGTGCTGGGATTTGATACTTATATAGATTCTCTAGGCAAAGTGGCTTGGGTGAAGGGACTTGGGTTCAGTTCAATTTGACCCAGGGGGTATTCATCCTCTTCCAAACATGTTGTACATACCAGGCACGTTCCCAGGGTTAGCATGGGGAAGTTTGTTTTAACTTTTGGATTGTACCTGTTCCCACAACATCCACAGGATGGCAAAGGGATGTTGCCAACCCAAGCTTGAACAGAGCAAAGAGTTGTGATGCGCCCTACCCCCACTTTGAATTCTCAGTGTCAAGTATGTTTTAGAAGCATTCATGACCCTTCCATCTCTTTAATGTTCTAGCCAGATTCTCCAACCTTTTCTGCCATAGCCAGGTAGGTTTCCACCAATGCCCATATTAGAGTTATTGGCCATCTTCTTTAAGGACTAGAAGAATTTAGTGTGAGATAGGGTAAGGAGCACTCTTAGGATGCTAGTGCTTCTGTCCTATTAGGTCTATATCTAAGAAGCAGCACAGCAGTGCCTGGCCTAGTTTCTTTGTGTCTTATTTGATCCTGGGCAAGGTTGGGAAGAACTAGATCATATGCTATAGTTTCACACTATCCAAGGGATACAAGTCAAATCAAGTCAACTAGCATTTATTTAAATTTATTTAAATAGGTACAGTACTGAAGCCTGTGGTCAACTAGATGGGCCTGCACATTTGAGGGGAGGGAAGAAAATGGGAACTAAGTCAGGAAGGTCCTGTCCCAATCTTCTTCACACTGGTTTCCCAGGTTTGCCCAGGGATGCCATTCAGCTATGCAGGGTGGAGTTATCATTGTGACATGCTTCTCAGTGCCCTCATCAGTAGCCTGCAAACTTTCTCCCCTTGCTTGGTGGCTTGTTGATTTATCAGATATAACTGCCAGCATCAGCCCTATTTTCTAATTTAGTGAACCTGGTAAACTTTCAGTGCCTAATCCAGTATCCAACAGTGCCATCAGTTAAAGGTCAAAATAGTTACAGTCCCAATCAGTTGTTCCCTAAACAGTGAATACTACTGCTTAAAATCATTGTAGGATATTCCACAGGCTATCTGTCTAAATATTCCGAAGTTGGTAACTAATTACGAAATTAGCAAATGCCCCGTGACTTTATACTATTAACACAGTTTGTTACAATCTATGGACTGTCTCCCCTCTACGTTCAGTAAACTCTTGCTACATCCCTCCAAAACTTTTAGCTCTTTTTCTCTTATTATGTGCCCAGCCCAACTCCTTTCTCCCTCCTAAGTGCCACACCACAGACTCGCATCACACTAAATGAGACATCAATGGGACAAATTTATAACAGTACAATTTCAAGCTTCCAAACATCCCACTTTTCATAGTTCAAAGATTTAGAGCTGAGAGGGACCTCAGAAGCCAGAGAGTTCTTATCTTACAAATCAAGAAACTGAGACCCTGAGAGTTTAAGTGACTTGCTTAAGGACAATCAGATTGTAAGTAGGAGAGGCAGGGTCTGAACTGAGGTCTGATGAGATTATGAATCCAGCACCTTTTCCTACTATTGATTGCATGAATTTGTCAATTTTAAGCAGAATTCTGACATGTTTTAAAATTACCCGAGATATCTTGCCCACTAGGGCAATTCCAATAGCCTTCTCCAAATCCACATCAAGGAACCAATGCCTATTAAGGTTGAGAATTATTAGAAGCCTCCCCACTTCTCTGGTAGTGGTCTCATGTTGGTGGCATCATCTTTTGACTTTCAGTTGCTGTTACATGGATTCATTTGACAGGAGGCTGACTCAGGCTTATAGACATAGTTGCTTATGTACAAATTGCCGAAATAGAGCTTTAATAACAATGGCTAGCCATTATGTAGTGCTTTAAAGTTTGTAAAGCACTAGGAATATATGTATGTACACACACATGTATAATGTCTCATTCAATCTTCCCAACAATACTGTGAAGTAGTGGCTCTCATTATCCCAATTTTATAGATAAGGAAACTGAGGCAAAGAGAGATCAAGTAACTTGCCCAGGTTCATATAGCTAGTAAGTGCCTAAGGCAGGATTTGAATTCAGGTCTCCCTGGCTCCAGGTACCATACTCTATCCACTGTGCTACCTCATATGTTAACAAATATTTATTAAGAATCTACTCTATGCCAGGGATTGTGTGAAGCAGTTGGGGTACAAAGAAAGACAAAAAACAATTCCTACTCTGGAGGAGCTCACAATCTAGTGGGGGAGACATGCAAACAGTTATATACAAACAAAATACAGACAAAAATAAGTTGGAGATAATCAATAGAGAGAAGCCACTAGAATTAAAGGGAATCAAGAAACGCTTCCTGTGGAAGCGAGGTTTTAGCTGGGAATTGAAGGAAACCAAGGAAACCAGGAGGCAGAGATGAGGAAGGAGAGAATTCCAGGCATGGGTTTCATAGCCAGTGAAAATGAATGGAATTGGGAGATGGAGTGTCTTGTGTGAGGAATGGCAAAGAAGTAAATGTCACTAGATGAATAGCATCTCTGTGTGTGTGTGTGTGTGTGTGTGAGAGAGAGAGAGAGAGAGAGAGAGAGAGAGAGAGAGAGAGAGAGAG